CATTTTTCATCGAGAGAGTTTCGGCAACATTCGAATTTTCACACGACATTTTTTCTTAGAACGTCGGCGCTTTTCAACATCCATCTCCAGCGATACAGCAATTGGCCTTTTCTCGCCGCGCAGCCAATGATATGTTGTCCAGAACTTTACCTACAGTTTTTCAAAAATCTCATTTCGGAAGGGTGAAAATCATTAGACTTGTCCGAACACGTTTTCTAACTGACAATTTTGAGGAAACGGTAGCATGTTTATGGAGTTCACTCACACTGGAAAGCGTTCCTGGCCGCAGTACTTATCTATTTGAGGATTTTTGTCTCGCGATTTCTACTAATTTTGCTTGGCAATAAATTTGTTGAGCCTCCATGTTACAGTTTCATGCTTGCTCCGTTTTCTTGAGGGCGTGAAACATTTGGCGTGGGATCCGAATGATTCCAAGGAGTCTTTTTTAAAATCGTTGACAATTTTGCGAAGGGTGAAGAATTCATCGAAATGAATTACTCGCGTGTACGCTATCAGGTCCATTCTTTCAAAACTTTATTTCTGTCCTTATTATTCTCTTTGATGACACGGCAAGATTATTTAACTCGCTAGGTAAAACGGTGCTGTCAAATTGTGTGGATCTCCATGCAATGGGCCCAACAATCAACGAAATAAGATTGTCGTCGTCACACGATGGAACGAGTCAATGAGAAAAGTCTGACAGAATTTGGACACTTTAAAAACTTATAACTCCTTTTATACAAACTTCTGAGCATCTGTTGCATTGGTATTCTTGTTAAATTTTCTGCCAAAGTTTAAAATGCGAAATGAACATTGAAATTTGCAGTCTTATTTAAAATTTTTATGTCCGACCTCTCTAATTGACTCAATCTACTGAGCGCCGGTTGGCGAGAGACGCATATTAGCGCCTACAGGACCGCCGAAATACTTCACGCATTGCGTCAAACACAGTGCGGCCGCCGGTCGACGCGAAAACCAGTCAGTTAAGGTTTTAAAAGTGGTTGCATTCGTTTCCTCGTTAAATTTTCTGCCAAAAAAACCCCTTGAAATTTAAATTATGACGAAATCAACATCAAACTTTGCAATTTTAGTTAAATATTTTATGTCTAACCTCTCTGATTGACTCGATCCACTGTGCGACGGTGGGCTAAGACGAGGAACGCGACTCAGTATGCTACCAAACTTAGGAATAATGCCAAATTAGCCATCAGGCGTTACCAAATTTCCCTCGACAAATCGAGAATTTTCAGGAAAATTTGAGAGTATTTTTCATCTGATTTTTCAGAGGATTTTGTTGGTAATTCGGATTTATTTCTGCTGAACGGAACTGATGGCCAAGTTCAGTTCCTTCAGAGAATTTCAGAATCCCGGATAGCACGTTCTGTCAACCGGAACTAGAACGCCATAAAACAGTATTCTGCTGTGCTAAGGAAATTCGGGAGTTGCCGAATCTCCTCGAATAAAACATACAAGTATGAGAAAAGGAAAGTGGAGACATGGTGCTGGGTCCACACCATTTCACGGGGAAATTAAAGCCATGAATTTCCAAGAATTATAATTAGAGTCAAAAATAAATTTTTTTAAACTCTAATGAGTACCAGTACAAAATTGAGGGGGGAGTGGTGTTCAGCTGAGGCAGTTTACATTGGGATATTAAGTTGGAGTTGAGTGACTCATTGGACTCATTAGAGACTCATTAAAGACTCATTAAAGACTCATTAGAGACTCATTAAAGACCATTAGCGACTCATTCCAGACTCATTAAAGGGGCGACGGCAAACTGCCACCCGGGTGGCAGTTTTCAAGAAATTTGTATGAAAACTGCCACCCGTATAAATTTGAAAACTGCCACTGGTAGTGAAAACTGCCACCCGTGTAAATTTGACAACTGCCACCCACATGAATTTCGGCGCACAGAGGGTCGAAGCGGTATTATGGGAAGACTGATTGTGAATCTCAAGCCAGGAGAAGTAGAAATCTATACTATAAACTCCGAGACCTCCTAATTTTGCGAAACTGGTAACGCTTAGTTCTAGCGTTCTACCGGGCCGATTTTCATGATGTGCGATGATTCTATGGTTCAAGGCGGGAGCCAAAGGGGAAATGACGTGATTTTTCGGGGCGATTATAAGTTTGTTTTTCAAAAAAAATTAGCGGGAGGTGTGACAAGATGGACTTGTGCCGGACGGAAAAAATATATGTGTAAAGCGTTTTTGAAAGTGTTTGAAGGAAATGTTTGTGAGAACAGTGGCATGCACCCCCATCCATGTCCCCCCATGTCCCTTTATGACTTCATGAAAAGAATTTCCACTAAATTCGCCAAAAATTCCACCAACCTCACCAAAAAGAAAGAAGGTAAAAGTCAGAAGAAAGTTCAAAAGGTAAAAAAGAAAAAAAAGAATAACAAAAGTAATGCCAAATGATGAAAAAAGCTCCTAGTAGTGATGTACTCTTTGACTGTAATTTTACTAAAATTTTAGTACTTTTAACTATTTTTTACTATAAACATACTGTAAATTAATGTAAAAATACTTTTTTTACAATTTTTCACTACTTTCAACTAAGAGTAATGCCAAATGATGAAAACAGCTCCTAGTAGTGATGTACTCTTTGACTGTAATTTTACTAAAATTTTACTATTTTTAACTATTTTTTACTATAAAAATACTGTAAATTACTGTAAAAATACTTTTTACAATTTTTCACTACTTTCAACTAAGAGCCCATTGACCTCCTTTCACCATATTAAAAAATTTTAAAAAAAATTGTATTAAAAAATAACTTTTGAACACGCCTATTAAAAATCATCACAGACACTGCTCAATTTCTTATCATGTGTTGATTTTCAGTAGACAGTCCTCAGCCTGTCCAAGTGTGAAGGAAAGTTTGGTAAACTGTGCGACCCCGCTCAATCGCGCTCCTTGGTCAAATTTCAACGGGTGGCAGTTGTCACTACCGGTGGCAGTTGTCAAATTTACACGGGGGGCAGTTGTCAAGTCGGGTGGCAGTTTTCAAATTTATACGGGGGGCAGTTGTCCATGTTTCCAGGAAATGGGTGGCAGTTTACAGCCTCCCCATTAAAGACTCATTGCAGACTCATTGCAGACTCATTAAAGACTCATTACAGACTCATTAAAGACTCATTAAAGTTAAAAACAATTATTTTTGACTCTAATTATAATTTTTGGAACTTCTTGGCTTTGATTTTCACGCGAAATAATGTGGACCCAGCACTATTCCTCCTCCTTGTTTCGTACAGTATTCGGGGAACTTCATAGTGTATTTTTATTATTCATTTATGAGGAAAGTTTAGCATGGTTTTCCCTCAAATATTCAGATATTTTAGATATAATTACAAACAAAATTGTCTGCAAAGTTTGAAACAAAAATTTCACAATTTTCTTTAGTAAATTTGACTTTTATTGAAGGAAATATGGCAACATCTGAAGGCTCATATTGTGTTTTTCCTTCGCACGGCAGTATTTGTGAGCATAGAACGAAACGAGCTCCGCGATCCACAGCACCCGCCGCGCGCCGATCCAGCCCCCTTCTCCCTTCTAGCCCATATGGCGCTTAGTCCCGTTTAGCAGGAATACGGCCCTTTGATCAATGAAGGCTAAAAATTTCAAGGAAATGTAACTTCAAAAATGAATGTTTTCTGAGAAGCACTTTAGCAACATTCAATTGCTCAACGGCAGTACTGCCTTGCTAAGGAAAAACGACGTATACTCCTTCGGATGTCACCAAATTTCCTTTGATAAAATACTGATTTACTGGGAAAATCGTGAGTATTTATCTTCTAATTTTTTAGACACTAGTGTTCGCACTTCGATCTAAAATATATGACAATATCGAGGCAAAATATGCACAACTTTCCTCTTAAATAAACGTTTTATCAGAGGAAATTTGGCAACCGACAAAGGTTCATACGGCGTTTTTCCTTAGTACGGCAGTATTCTATCGTGCTAAGGCTGGAAGAACGCCGTATACACATTCGAGAGTTGCCAAATTTCCGTGATGAAACATGTATTCTTGACATTATACATGAATGTTTTTACCTGATATTTTCAGATATTTTAGATTAAATTGCGTGCAAAATTTTCTGAAAAGTTTGTAAAAAAAATATTCACAATTTTCCCAGTAAATTCGGCTTCTATCCGAGGAAACTTGGCAACGTCTGAAGGTTCATATGGCGTTCTTCCTTAGCACGACAGTATGGAGGAAGATCGTGGAGCAGAAGCCTAACCACGGTGTTACAAAGCGGCGAAATTAGAGGCGAAACTGGGTGTGACACGATTCAAGGGGGTCAAGACCAGCGGAAGCAATTCTCACGCAATAAATAAGTGAATAAAAGAGGGGGAGGGGTTAAGTAACTGAACGTACCTATAGCGGAGCAGACCCAGAAGTCCAAAGAAGGGGGGGGGAGTCTGCTGGCGGCAGTGCGGTGGTTTTAATGTTATTTATGAAGTCGTTTGGAGCGTCTTTCGCAGCCTTTCTCCGCACTCGTGCTCGTAGTGCATTTTCCGGGTCCACTCTTGCCAAGTCGGCTGGCTTTAACCGAAAAAGTGTATTACACGTTGTCAAATTTCCTCTCAACTTTTTTATAATTTTGGTAAAGAATCAAGCGACATAATGCCTTGAAACTCTCTGCACATTTCCTCTGCTCGTAAAGAATATATCTGTCAAAATTTTAAGTTAGAAATTCCGGATTTTCCGGATCCACCCTTGCCAAGTCGGGCGGATTCAACTAAAAAAAGTGCATTACACGTTGCCAAATTTCCTCTCAAATTTTTTAGTATTTTGGTAAAAAATCAAGCAACATAAAGCATTGAAAATTTCTGTAAATTTCCCCGGGCTCGTAAAAAATACACCCATTAAAGTTTTAAGTAAAAAATTCTATTAGGAAATAAGATATCAAAGAAAATCAGGCAATATTAGAAACGCGGAAAAAGCTGTATTTCGATTTCTCTTCACTTATAGGATTTAATTTCTGATTTCAGAAGAAGCCACCTCATGAACTTTACGTACCTTGAAGGCATGGCAACGAAAAGCCAGCGAGAGAATCATCCGTGACACATGATGATAGAAACTAGTCACTTCGCTGAGAGGGCAAGGATCACAGATACGTCACAGCCGCAGTGCGTCGGCAATGCTACATCATTGAAGGATTAATTTAAAAGCTTTGAACGTAATGAGCTTTTTGGCACACATAGTGTGACCAACATGTTTTTGAGCGAGTCCACCCGGCAGGATTTGATGCTTTAATCGAAAACACTGACCACCGGTTAGAGCCAGCATCATCACAGGAGAACCATTTTTAAGCCAATGCGGTCAATTATCTAGGCTGCGGTTAGCTTTCCATTCCGAGAAAATAACATCCTGTCATTGCATTTTGAATCCAATACCATGTTCCGTGAGAACTAAACTCTGCTTTAACTAAACTTGTATTGAAGAGGAACGTACTACTAAGCTCGCAAATACTTTGCATATAGTTCCTATATTTATTTTATTCATTTTCCTACAGTCCCATTGAGCGTAAATACGTCCATTTTACATTCTGTATTCTAAAAAGCTTTAGATTCATCTGATTTTCTTTTTTTTCTATAACCAAAATTTTCTTGTGGAGAATATTCAATGGAGGTGCTAATGCCTCTTGGTTCAAGGAAGAAAGTGTCCTGGTGATGAAAATGATAATGCCGAAATAAAAATAATTTAAAAAGAAGTTAATAAATTATTTATTTCTTTTTCATTGATTTGTGAATTAGAATATATTCCAAAGACCATGTTTCCCACCGCCGAGTAACCCATCAAAAATCTCATTTTTCGTACACCGTAGATTTTGAAGTAAGGTCAATCAGAGAAGATTATCAAACAGAGAAGAAGAAGAAGAAAAACAATAGATAGCTCGAATTATTCATGTAGAAAAAAACACTAAACAATGGGTAAACAAGGCTGAAAACAGACATAAAAAAACCTGGGATGTTTCGGGTGGTCGTAACCCCATCCTTGACCAGCAGACAAAAATGAGATTAAAAAAATAAATTATAACAATCGAGAGACCCTTAAACCCCCATTTGCGGTGATAACAAGAAAAAAGGAAAGAAAGAAAGAAAGAAAAGAAGCAAACATTTTTAGAACTTCAGAATCTGCAGAGTATACTTCTTCAGAAGTAAGTCATGGTATCTCAGTAATGCTATTGAAGAAAATCGGATTGAATTTTGCAAAAAGGAACCAAGAACATTCCAATGTCGCTAGGTTTGTGCAACTTACATTCTTGGAAGCACTATTACTAAAACAATGCAAAAAATTGAATTTACAAAGGTAATTTTTTTCATGAATTTTTAGTTGATTAAGAGTTAGGATGAAACTTTTTTGGATGATCAGTTTATATTTGCAAGGTAAACAAAGATGCACAGTCTTAGCGGCATTGGAATGCTCTTGGTTCCTTCTTTTTTTGCAAAACGCAATCCATTTGTCAGGTAGAGACTTATTTAGCACATTTGGACTGCATTTTGCAATTAGGAACTATGAATTCTGGCTCTTCTTACACTTCTTCACAAAAACACTTATGTGCTTAGAGAAACTTCTGGCACATACGTCGTTTCTAAACTGGGCTAGAATTTATAATTCCAAATTGCAAAATGTAGTCCATTTATAATTTTCTACACATTTGGACTACATTTTGCAATTTGGAACTATAAATTCTAGCCCGGTTTAAAAACAACGTATGTGCCATTGGTTTCCCTGCGCACATAAGTGTTTTTCCAGAAGAGCTAGAATTGATATTTCCAAATTGCAAAATGCAGTCCATTTCATCGCAAGAGAGGGTCTTTTTGGGCACCTGCCTTTCAATCACACTTGAAGGACTGACTGCCATTCATGAACCTATCCATTAGGACATACTCCCATTTACGTTGCTTGAAGGATATCAAGTGCCCTGCATTCCTGACCAGAACTTCGGTGAAGGTGCCCGTCGTCTTCGAGTACCAGGCAACCCGATCGCCAATTCTGAAGGGACACCTTTTCGCCGTGCTGTACTCCCGCGCACGGGGCCATCTCAGCGAATCGTAGAGCTTCAAACTCAGATAATAAGGAGCATATAAATCGAGGGTTCCTGAGAAAATAAGTATCGGAACATCATCCGTCGAAAGAAGCTTCTCGAGCCACGAACGCCCCGAAGTCATGAGTTCCGCCCTCATATGTCCCTTGGTCTCTTTACTACTCTGGTAGGGTCGATCGCCCACGTGGAGCATCCTCTTCGTCTCGGCGTCGTTCAAGAAATCCCGCTCCGCACCAGACCCGCGAGTCTCGTCGTTAACAAAGTCCAAAAGGTACCTCAAACCGGTTGTCTTCGCGATGACACCCAAATAACGAGAATAGTCATCGTAGGCCTTCGCAGTATCCCCCGCCTTGATGCTGTTCCGGATTCGGTCTTCCTCCATCTTGAAAGCGTCCGCCGTTTTCGAATCGATCAGGCTCAGCCCTTGGAGATGCGCAGCATGGTACATCATATCAAGCGCTGACATAAACGCGGAACTTACCATGACTCCCGCCAACGGCATTTTCAAAACGGAGACTTCGTTCATCTCGTGGATCTTGCAGCCGATGCCGAAAGCGGACTTCCCGGCGTAGGAGTTGCCGTAGAAGAAGGGTTTGGTCCGTCGCAAGGCCGGGAAAAGTTGGTATAGTTGTAAGAGGCCCTCGTACAAGCTGAGCACTGTGTCCTGATCCGTCCTCGCGTACCCGGAATCGATGCTCGTGTAGCTGAACCCGGCGCCGATGGGGTTGTCGATGAAGAGCATGTTGTAGTCGCGGTTGAGGGTGATACGTCGACGTTTTAGGGTGTTGGATTCGGTGAGTTTGTATGGGCCCTGCTCGAAGAGGAGCCCTACTAGGGAACTGGTGCCCGGGCCGCCTGAGAGCCAGACCACCAGAGGGCGCTCTTGCCAGTTGCCGCGCTGGCTTTTGAAGAGCCAGAAGAAGAGGTTGGAGTCTGTCGTTTTGTTGATGGTCAGGAACCCGGAGAAACTTTCGATGTTCTTAAATGTGGGTCGCACTGTCGCTAATTTTAGGGCTTCTTTGATTTTCCCTTTTTCGATGTAGGGAGTGAGGAAGAGGGCAGCTTCTTCACCGACTGGAGTGGCGCCGATGCCATGCCCAGGTTGATTTGCCGCGAAGGACGTCACGTCTTGGAGGATCGCTAAGACGATTATTTGGTTGATTATACAAAATGTCCACATGTTTCCCCACGTGGTAAATTTATCACAGAATAACGGGCTCCTGTGGCGATAGGCTTGTTGCTCTAATTAAAACTTTTTTTATACACAATGGGCAACGAAAAATATATAAGAATATGTCTCAAGATACGGATGTGCGAGATCGTAATTTAGCCACTAGGAAACGCTTAATGCAATGCATATCTCTGAAATTGAAGGCGAACTTTTCACGATGCAACAACTGGGGATTTCCTTTGGGAACGTTTTACAAAACCGCACATGATGTGGTAAATCGTGTTTTAACTGCAGGAGAGACATCGAATTTAAAACACCGTAGGTTAATTTTCAGCGCAACTGAAACGAGACTGAATGAAATGTTAATCTGTAATGATTCCATCGAAGCCGAATGATTGCCTCTTGAAACCGCGGGCGATATTAGATAAGTGATTTAAGTTCACGAATTTCAATAAGCACCTTAAATAATTTCAAGTGCTTTGCCACTCAATTTTGTGCTTATTACGAGTACGTCATATTTGGACCACTTTTATAGGAGGGAATTATGCCACATCGGCTATTGCCAAATTTAAATGGGCAATTTAATTTTTTTACAAGAGAGCGTTTTTGCGAGTTCCTTTAAAAATTTTGAGATATTTGCCTCTAGGCAAAAAATTCAGTGAAATTTGTACAAAAATCCGCCCAACCGTTTTCATGTAAAAAATTAAACTGCCCAATTAAATTTGGCAATAGCTGGTGTGGCTTTGCACCTCTCTGCTTGACGCAGTCCATTTACGAATCTGTGTGATTTTATATTTTGTGAGCTTACGTTGCCACATAGTACTGAACGGTAACCAAATGAGAGGCCATCCAAGAAATAAGTCAGGCACTTTGGTCGAATTTTACCCTCTTTCTTAGAATTTTGGACCCTCCTTCGCCACCCCCCCTCCCCCGTAAGGCACTCGTAAATCAACCTTCCGCCTCCTTTTTTTTAAAAAACGCGCAACGTTCGCATGATCCCTCCTCCTTCATAATTTTGCAGGAAAAAACGGAGAGTCTAAAAATAGATGGCAAATATTTTTTATTGAAAAAAATTATTAATTTTTTTTTGGTTGAAAAAAAGGGAGGGCTTACATACGAGGTAATCCTGGTAAGGCAAGCTTAGACCCTCTCATCAACCCTAAATGGACTGCATTTTGCAATTTGGACCTATAAATTCTGACTCATCTGAAAAAAACACTTATGTGCATAGGGAAACTAATGGCACATACGTTGTTTTTAAACCGGGCCGGAATTTATAGGTCCAAATTGCAAAATGCAGTCCAAATGATTCGCATAAATTACTTTCACGGCCCACGGTGGATCGAGTCCATTAGAGAGGTTGGACACGAAATTTTTGACTAAAACTGCGAATTTTTATATTTATTTTGTCACATTTTAAAGTCAAAAGGATGTCTCAGAGTAAAAATTTCACGAGGAAACCAGTAAACCCACTTTTAAAACCTCAAAGTTTTGTATAAACGGAGTTATAAGTGTTTAAAACTCCCAAATTTGGTCCTACCTCTCCTATTGGCTCGATCCACTGTGCGACCTCTGAAGGGCAATAAAGCTGATTTGACACGATCAGACGGTGCTGTGAATCTATCAAGGTCAAACGCTGTGATTGGTCCAAGTCATCCAATACGCCAATCACAGCGCCTGATCTTGATGCATTGATAGCACGATTTGATCGTGTGACATTAGCTAACGAGCTTTGTAACGTCGCGTCGGGTCGCAAACCAAGGCACGTGGTCTCCAGGTTTATCAATCGACCGGTCTTAATTCTTTGCCTGTAGAATAACTGTTCTGCCGTACTAAAGAAAAACGCCGTATGAACCTTCAGGCGTTGCCAAATTTTCTTCGATAAAAACGAATTCCCTGGTAAACTTATGAATATCCCTCTTCAAATTTTTCAGGGAATATTCTTTGTATTTTGATCTAAAGTTCCTGAAAATTTCAAGGAAAAATATTCACAATTTTCCTCATAAATAAACATTTTATTAAAGGAAATTTGGCAACTCTCGAGTGTTCATACGCCGTTCTTCCTTAGCACGGCAGTGTTGAAGTGCTGCGGATTTGTAGCGGGGCGCGGTATCATAGAAACATAATCACCGATCCCTCGCCCCACAACAGCAAACACGGCTCGGAAGCGCGCAGCGCAGTAATTCGAGTGTGTGCGTCGGGTAGTCATCGCAAAAAACTTTGTTGCCTCCGGGGGAGAGGTGGGCGCCGGCGCCAGGAACAGATCAAAATAAAATAGGGAGCGCTCCCTAAGTAAATACACCGATGACAGCTCCGAATGGCGGGACGCAAACACGTAGAACTTTATGCTGATTAAACTTTTACGGGTTCACTCCCGGAGTTACGCCCGCCGCGCCTCCAAATTCGGCCGGGGCGGCGCCGACGTATTACGCGCTTTTTATTTCCGCGAGCATGTGAGGGTGTGTGTGTATCTACATTTTTCTACCACGCACAGTGGATCGAGTTAGAGTACCTTTATAGACAGAGTATGGCCATTTCTGTTCCGTTTTTTCAATGGTCGCGTGAAAATAGGCTGACACGATGTTCTTACGGTGGTAAATAAACAAACAAGATGGCTGTTATCAGCAAGCAAGATTGAGGTTATGCACATCTTACATCCTCCTGTGCCAAAGGTGAAAGGCGATTTAACAATGTTTTAATGTGTTTTTCGTGTGTTATTCATAGATATGCTGGTTTAAAATGTTACTGCCGTATAATTGAAATTTTTGTCAAATTTAGCTTCTTATTGATGTTACGGTGAGCCGCCATCTTGTTTTTTTATTTACGGCCGTGGGAACATCATGAAGCCTAAAAACTCGTTGACCAATCAAAAAGCGGAACAGCTTTCCTGTAGTAAAAGATACGAACGGCCATACTCTGTCTATAAAGGTACTCCAGATCGAGTCAATTGGAGAGGTCGAACATGAAATTTTTGACTAAAACTACAAATTTTGATGTTTATTTCATCACATTTTGAATTTTAAGGAGTGCTTCCAGATGAAAATGTCACGAGAAAACTATAATGGAACAACTTTCAGAACCCCAAAATTTTGTATGAACGGAGTTATAAGCGTTTTAAGTTTCCAAATTTTGTCCGAACTCCACCATTAACTCGATCCATTGTGCCACGCTTCCATCGTGCGTCGCGGATTCGGGGGTTTTCCGACTTTTGATCCCTCCGCGAGAGCCTCCCGTAATATTTTTGTTCGTCTTTTGTTCCGTTTTTCTTCTCTTTCTTTTTCATTTAAATTATCTTCGAGAAGGAGATAACCCTGTTCTAAAGGAACGGTTGATGAAAGGTATTCCTATGGCAACGAAATCAAACGACAACCGCACGAGATCAGAACGCATGTACGACGATAATAATTTTCTCTTTGAATTTAAAATTCAGCTCGGTGAACACATTCATATGACAATCAACAATAATCCTTATGAACTCTCTAAGCCTGTCAATTTTCTTTTTTGTCAGATTTTATTCTAGAGATTTACCGGGCCAACTTTCATGATATTTGCGTCCAGCGAAGGGAGGTGGTGCTTAAATAATCCCGCTCTACAAACTGAACCGCGTTGAGCAGAAAGGAACCAAGCCGCATCAGCTATTGCCAACTTTAATCGGGCAATTTAATTTTTTACACGAAAACGGTTTTGCGAATTTTCAAACCAATTTCTGTGAAAATTTCTACATAGTGCGAGGCAAATTCCTTAAAATTTTCAACGGAATCCGCACAAACGTTCTCTCGTAAAAAAATTAAATTGCCCAGTTAAAGGCAATAGGTGATGTGGCTTGGTTCCTTTCTGTTAAACGCGGTCCAACTAACGGGTGTACGCAAAGAAAGCGCCCTCAAGGGCGCCGTGTAAGGGTTGGGCCGCGTAGGGAACAGGGGGTGCAAGTGTACCCTTAATAAAATGGTAAGCTCTCACATTGCTCTAGAGTCTCAGTTTTAGTTATACTTCGCTGTAGAGATGTGATGTATTTCCGTGTTTTTTTGCCGCTATTGATACGCAAATCCCCTGTGGATGAGGTTTTTTTTGTAAATTTTTGTAATATAATGCAAAGAGGTTATTTTTGAAGACCCGAAGCGTTCTCTAGAGGTTGTGCACGTGTGCGTAACGGCCAAGGGCCTGACTCCTGGTACAATTATTATACCTGACGGTTTTTTGAAAAGGAAGCGGTTTAAGATCGAAGAAAAAAAGTAGCCGAAGCAGGCATCTCACCGATAAATTACAAGAGTCTTAGCTATTATTATAAAAAAATCCTGGTCCTAAAATGATTTCAACTTTTCCAACTGACTAAACCAGAATTATAGTTAAGGGAACTGACTATTTGTGAATCGACCGAGCTGCTGATTTTTGCAGTCACCGAGAAGTGGATCGCATTTAGCAAAATGGAACCCGCGGGACTACAGTGTTTTCAAAATCGCGCAAATTCTTTTGAAAAAACTGAAAAAAAACTTTCTTCGCAAAAAAATGCTGAATATATGTACACTTTGGGAAAAAACACATTGGCTCTAGAGTCCAGACTCTGAAAAACATCGACAAGAAAAAATACTCTTGATTCAATCGGATGTTTGCTTAAATCAAGAACCAAGCCTCTTAATTTGAGCGGATTTCCTTTTGATTTTAGCAAAAATCTGATTGAATCAAGAGTATTTTTTCTTGTCAATGTTTTCAAGAGTCTGGACTCTAGATCCAATGTGTTTTTTTCCAGTGCAGTATTAAAATTTACACAGTTATTTCCCTTTCAAATTAACAAGTTTTTCGTCGGATACAAAAACTATTTGCTATTTTGGGAGACTTGTCATGATAATAATGAAGAGGCAAAATTTTAACAACACTGTAATTGCGCTAGTTCCTTTTTGATAAATGCTATCCAAGTGATAACCCCTATATGAGCCAATTTTCTGTAAATTTTGAAGAACAACTCGCAGGGAACGGCCTTTTAAGGGCGCGAAGCGTTCCCTGCGGAATGATGCAGGGGGCACAGGCTCACCTCCAATGCTGCCCCCATTCCCTAGAACACTACACGATTTATGATCGACTCCCAAGAAGTTCCGTACGATTGGCTCAACACGTAAATGTGACAACAGCGCAGTCGCGACTTAGAAAAGATTCTCGATAAGGAGCTTCAGTCGAGAAAGCTCAAAGCAGCGTTTCAAGTTGCCCGTCGAGCGCCACGTCGCCGCACAATGGACCGAGTCGAACAGAGGTCAGACATAAAATTGTTCACTTAAAAATATAAATTTTGATGATTATTTCGTCGCATTTTAAACTTTAAGGGGTGTCTCCTAAAGAACATTTCACGGGGAAACCAATGG